ATGACACGTTTTGTTCTTGAAAAACACTCTAAAATTAAAAATATACTACAAAAGTAAAAAATCACGTTTTGAATGAATCTTCAGCCAAGTATATCCTACAGATCGCAAAATCACTCAAGCACATCATTTAATGGTAGAGGGCCTTCTTTCACACACTATAACCATCATTAAAAAATTTATTGTTTATAACTGACATGTATAACCATATTTTTATATACAGACGTTATTAAGTACTCGCTTGAGTATTTTATTACTTCTATGAAGAAAAGTAGTCTTTTTCAGAGCATAAATGTTTCATAAAATTATTATATGTAAGTTTTGTATTTCTTTTCTCAACACAGAGTAAACTGTGTTGATGTATGATTTGATTTGATTGTATTCAAATGTATTCTGATAAATATTTGAACAAATGAATGGAAAGAATTCAACGAACTAAAAATATTAAATTGTATTTCTGATCAGAGAAAATCATCTTTGTTCTAGAATTATACATTTAACAATTACATCAAAAATTAAACATACATAAGTTGAACTGTATATCTTACAGGTAGAAAAGAAGAATTTTATTTACATGAAAATGCTCGTGCTTGTGTTGAGTATCGAAATTATGACATAGACCGCTTAGGAGTCTATATACGTAATTTCAGAATAAAAGTAGAAAAAATTCCTGAAGCCCTATTGCTATCCAATGATATTTCTCTAGATGCATTAATAAGAGGTATGTAATAGATTCGTAATAATTTTAATTTACATAGGAAATAAATTGTTATTTTTAATGCAATTTTATAATAACTTACACAAATATTTATGTACAATTCATAGTTTAAGATCGTCGCATGTTCAACATCGTATTTATTTCTGAAATGATACGTCGTAGATGATCAATGATTTCTTTAAGATGCCTATTTTTTAATACAACTTGCTGAAAGACATAAACAACAATGTGTAATTCATGAAATTTAAAGAATCTATTTTCTATATTGTATTTTCAATTACAACTTACCTCCATGATTTCTTTGCTTTCTTCACAAGCCAGTCTGTAAGCCTCGGATGTCTTTTTCTCATCAGATTTCATGTCCCATTCTTCTTTTAGAGGAATTAAACTTTCTATATGTGTGTACTCCATACCTTGTAATTGGCAGTTTTCATTGCATTTTTCATAAATCAGTCTTAAACGCTTAAATAACAGTTTTAACGTCCTTAGTTGTTCTTGCACCTTATTCTTCTTCTCATTAGCTACACTTGTTCCTTGGGCCATTCCTGAAATTTTAATAGTTGTTTAAATAGTACAATCGAAAGTAATTTATATAGAAGACATCAATTTAATTCTACATACCATTTGGTGGTTGTAAGACTTTTAATGTTTGGAACACTTCTAAAGTGCGGCTGACGATATCTTGGACAGTTTCTTGTCCAAATCTGCATAAACTGGCAGTGTTAAATTCCTTAGTTTGCTGTTGTTGTGGTGGAGGCTGCGTAGGAGGTACAGGTGTTTGCGGCGTAGTTGCTTGATTATTTGTTTGATTATTCTGTTGTACCATAGCTGCTTGCTGCTGCTGCTGCAATTGCAATTGTTGTTGTTGCATCTGCTGCATCTGTTGTTGCATTGCAACAGATTGTTGTTGTTGTTGCTGTTGTGCTAATACTTGTTGAGTAGGCATACCCATTGCATTTGTACCTACACCACCCACACCTACTCCTACTCCTACACCAACACCAAATTGTTGAGGGCTCACCATACCTATAATGATTTGAATCTAGTTCTATCAAATTTACTAGTTTCTTATATTAATGTACTCACCGCCCTGTTGAGGCCCCATTAAACCGGATACCATTTGTCCTCCACCAAACTGTGTTCGCATTGCAGATTGCTGTACATTAGGAAATCCAGAAGGGAAAGGATGTTGTTGGCCCGCCATATTTTTCAAAATTTATAATTTGCCGATATACAATGGCAGAGGAACAATTTATCAGTAGAGTTAGAAAATTTTTAGGTTATGTTAGGTTATGTCATTTTAATACTGCACGTTTAACAGTTTCACAATTCGTGATACTAAATTTTTGGGTTAATTTAATTGATTTTTACTTGTATATGAAGAGTCCAAAAGTCACTAATCAGTACGTTGACAAAATGTGCAAATTGTGTTCGTTGCACATAAGAAGTTTTAATCTATAACTTTCCGATGTTTTCGCTTTCTATTTGAAATTACACAAAGAATTACACCATCTTGACATTAGTAACAATGTAACCATAAAATATTCATATTTTCTACGATTGCGTGCTATATAAAATGCACGTCTCACATATTACGTTATAAATTGTTGACATCACATTGCGCACGTGTGCCACGCTAGTAGCGACACCATGTTATATTATCGGCTTCTATTCACATTAATCGATTTTCGAATTTTTCAAAAAGCAATTTTCTATGCGAACTCAATATTCGTGAATATACTATTTTTATTCAAATGTAACATATTATTAATATTGTATTAAATTTTTTAAGTATTGATGCGTGTAGTTTGGAACAACATAATGTAAAGATAGATAGGTATTCAAATTCGATTTTAAAAATCTGTATTTGTATTTTTATGTGTAATTACTCTATATTTAAAATAAAAATATATTCTTTAAACGTTATGCCAAGATTATTTTATTTATGTGCTTGGTTTTCTCCTTTTGTAAATATTGTTGTAATACTTCAAAATTTTGTTATATTCAATTTATTAAATTACCGAACAAAAGA